ACTGATTTTTTTACATTTACTGTGTTTTAATATTTACTGATTTTTTTATATTTACTGAATTTTTTTTAACTGATTTTTTTATATTTACTGTGTTTTTATATTTACTGATTTTTTATATTTACTGTGTTTTAATATTTACTGATTTTTTTTTATATTTACTGATTTTTTTTTATATTTACTGATTTTTTTATATTTACTGATTTTTTTTATATTTACTGTGTTTTTATATTTACTTATTTTTTTTAATATTTACTGTGTTTTTATATTTACTGTGTTTTTATATTTACTGATTTTTTTTTTATATTTACTGTGTTTTTATATTTACTGTGTTTTTATATTTACTGATTTTTTTTAAATATTTACTGTGTTTTTATATTTACTGAACTCTTATGAAGCATCACTCTGCTGTGATCCATTTTTCTTCCGTATGTTTTTCAGCTCGATTCTCGTCCCGCAGTTTTCAGTCCGTTTCAACAAATCTTAAATCAAAACGTTCGGCTCTTTCAGGACCATCCTGCTATGACTTTTGGTTTTGGTGCAACTTTAGCTTTTTTAAATATTTTGCCTTTTTTTTTTCTCCTCATAGGAAATGAATTGAGCTCATTTTCCATCCGTCAAATCTTTAGCTGTTTACAAACTTTCACTGCTCCTTTCACATTTTGTTCTGCTTCAGCTGCTTTCAGCTTCCTTCTGCAAATTTAAACTTGTTTTTAGCTACTTTCAGCTGTTCTTTTTCAGCTGTTTTGTACTCCTTCCAGATTCTTTCTGTTAACTACAATATTTTGTGCTTCTTTATTTATGCGTTTCAGCTTTTTCTGCTATATAAGCTATTTAGCTGTTTCATGCTAATTGTAGCTTTTTTTCAGCTAATTACAGATTTTTTGTTCTCATTTAAACTTTTTTCAACCTAATTTAGCAAAAATGTGCTCTCTCCATGTCTGTCTGGTAACTTAAGCTTCTTTCTGCTTTTTAAGCTACTTGTCAGCATTTTATTTAGCTAATTTCAGCTTTTTTTCAGAGAATTTCAATTTGTGCTCATTTCTGCGTCTTTAAGCCTAATTAAATTATTTCTGCTAATTTCAGCTTGTTATGTTCCTTTCAGCTTTTTTCAGCTACTATTTAGCTGTTTTATGCTAATTTTAGCATTTTCAGCTAATTCCAGACTTTTTGCAATAATTTCAACTTTTTCCAGCTTATTTAAGCAAAAATGTGCTCTCCACATCTTCTGGTAGTTTAAGCTCATTTCTGCCCTTTCAGCTGTTTTTCAGCCAGTTCTTCGGCATTTAGCATTCACGCTGCATTTTCACAGGGATTGCAGCTCATCTACAGTTACATTTATATTTTAACACCCTCCAAGTTCCAGTCTTGGGGTGGTTTGTTCAGCTGTTCAGGAGCTCGGCTCGGTTAAAGTCAACAGAGCGACTCACTCAGATTGAAATCTGATAATCCCGTGCTGGATTTTTATTCCTGCAAATCCTAAATGTTACTTCGTATGATGGAGGTTTTTTTAAGTCTCACACTTTAAATTCCTGCAGAAAGATAAAGACGTACAGCGGCGTCCCGCCCGCTCGGTGCTGAAGCGGTTTTAGTTAAAGTCGAGCAGCGTTTGTCTCTGCAGGGTCGGAGGATCGATCCCCGTCATCTTCTCCTACTTCTCAGAGTTCATGCCCCGTGTGAGGAGAGGAGCCATGATCAGCGCTCTGGCCACTTTCTGGATGGCAGGAAACCTCCTGGCTGCAGGTGGAGCAAACACAACGAGTCAGGGTCACATGCTCTATCATTAGAGTACGAAAATATACAGACGTGTGTACAAGTATACAGACATGTGTACAAATATACAGACATGTACACAAATATACAGACATGTGTACAAATATACAGACATGTGTACAAGTATACAGAGATGTATACAAATATACAGACATGTGTACAATTATACAGACGTGTGTACAAATATACAGACATGTACACAAATATACAGACATGTGTACAATTATACAGACGTGTGTACAAATATACAGACGTGTACACAAATATACAGACGTGTACACAAATATACAGACGTGTGTACAATTATACAGACGTGTGTACAAATATACAGAGATGTGTACAAATATACAGACATGTACAAAAATATACAGACATGTACACAAGTATACAGAGATGTACACAAATATACAGACATGTACACAAATATACAGACATGTACACAAATATACAGAGATGTATACAAATATACAGACATGTACACAAATATACAGAGATGTATACAAATATACAGAGATGTATACAAATATACAGACATGTGTACAAATATACAGACATGTGTACAAGTATACAGACATGTGTACAAATATACAGACATGTACACAAATATACAGACATGTGTACAAGTATACAGAGATGTACACAAATATACAGACATGTACACAAATATACAGACATGTACACAAATATACAGAGATGTATACAAATATACAGAGATGTATACAAATATACAGAGATGTGTACAAATATACAGACATGTGTACAAATATACAGACATGTGTACAAATATACAGACATGTGTACAAGTATACAGACATGTGTACAAATATACAGACATGTACACAAATATACAGACATGTGGACAACTATACAATTATACAGACGTGTGTACAAATATACAGACGTGTGTACAAATATACAGACATGTACACAAATATACAGACATGTGTACAAATATACAGACGTGTGTACAATTATACAGACGTGTGTACAAATATACAGACGTGTGTACAAATATACAGACGTGGGTACAAATATACAGACATGTGTACAAGTATACAGACATGTGTACAAATATACAGACATGTACACAAATATACAGACATGTGGACAATTATACAATTATACAGACGTGTGTACAAATATACAGACGTGTGTACAAATATACAGACGTGTGTACAAATATACAG